TTTAAGCTTGTGTTGTTCCAGAGCATCATTTACACACAGTGATGTCAACCCACCGTGTGCACGGGTAGTTACCAGGTGGGTGTGCTTCACCGCGCCATTAAAAATGCCACTGTGATTAGCAGCTTGTGGAAAGCACTGGCATCTCCTGGTGTTCAACAGAGTGCAACCCACTTAGACACAACCCACTTGGTTTTGTGGCTTTGGCCCAGATAAGGCATTCCTTCTTTGATCTGGCTTTTGCACATGAGTGTTTGGGACATATAAAGCTCCTCAGTCTCTTTCGAAGTATTGCCTCATATGTATCACATGCAACCTGCTGCTCTTAGTTACAATTAATTATTCCCACTTTGTGTAGCCAGTTTGTGTCACCAGGCACGAGCAACTAGAGGTGCAAACAAAGTATTATCTGACAAGCCTTTGCTGAAGATAATTTACATGCCAGCTTTTCCAAAACTGCTTCTTGCATGTGCCATTTTACTCAAAGTACCTTCAAGTACCTTCACCATGTTGCAGAATGTAAGTGTAATCTTCAAGAAAGGATAAACTGATTAAAATAGATTTCCAGAGAACTCCAGAAAAATACATATTATCACTGTTTCTTTTTCCATGCTAGTTCTGTTATTGAATATGGCAGAATACTTCTCTCACATCTCCACAGTTACAAGTCTAAATCCAGATGACTTACTACTCCTTTTTTTTTTGCCTTTTTTCCAATGGCTCCTTTCTCAACACTCCTGTCTTCTCAAGTATCTCTTTATTACCTAAAAAGGGTAAAAGATTCCTAGCAAGCTTTTTTTTTTTTTTGCAGTAATTTGATGATATGCAAAACAATTTCTGTAATTGCTTTGGGATAGGACCAAGTCAGACCAAAATAGCAATTTGTGCGCAATTATACATCTATGTATAATTGATTTATAATTGAACGTGACCTTTAATATCTTGCTATCTTTTCCATCCTTTCTGCAAAGTAGTTTGTTTTGGGGTTTTTTTTTTAATATTCTGTGGTGAGCTTAATTTGGCAAGTGATAAAAATGCAAATTTCATCATCAAGTTTCCTGGGAACATGAATCATTACTATGATTTGGAATTGTTTCTGTGTAAATAGATGAGAAATTTTTCTGTCATAAGCCCTTTTGGTATTAGTACTTCTCTCCCTAGTCTGCCTACAGCTCCTGCCACTGCTGTGAGAGGCCACGGGAGCAGCACTGACAACTGGAAGAGGTGGAAGGCAAAACTGAGGCAGGAACAGGCCTGTCATCAGGGAGAATGTCACTGCCTTTTCCAACAGACGCACTGCAGCATCAGATCCAAATACTGG